ATCGTCATTCTGAATTCTAGTTCTGACATAATACCAATGTCTGTATTGATTAGGTCCCTAGCCATTTGATACTGCCTCTTGTTCTTTTTTTGTGGTGAGTTTTTCCTCCTATCTTTTATCCAGATAAGAATATATGAATGAGAGAGTAAAATATTAAAAGAGTGGCAAAGACCCCAGAAAAATATATGCTAACCAAATCAGAAGAGACCCAAAACCAGGGGAAGATGAGAGGGTGGAAAAAACAATAAAAAAATTTTAAAAATATAGTTATTAGACTGTGAATAGAACAGAGCCACCCACTTGACTTTGGGTGTATTCTGGTCTCTTAGAAGAAACTACCTCCCAAAATTTTAAAGAAAGAAAAACTTATATATGTTCAAAAATAGGGGTAAACACAATGAAGAGATGGAATATGACTGTAAAGATGAAAAAGATTTAAAAAGATTTTAAAAGATTTTTAAAGGAATTGGTAAGATAAGTTGGTTGGAAAAAGAAAAAAAATATGATCAGACTAGAGCTAGATTTAGGGTTTATTTTGATCTATTAGAAGAAATTATATCCCAAAAATTTAAAGAAGAAAAACCTATACGTATACAAAAAATAAGGTTAAATACAATGAAGGGATAAAATATGACTATAACCATGAAAATTTTAAAAGATTTTTTTAAAAAGGTATTGATAAGATAAAATAGTTTAAAAAAACATTTAAAGAGGAAAGAAGAAAAGTTAAAAAAATAGAATAAGAAAAAAATAAAATTAAAAAAATTTTACTTTGCAAGACTTAAAGGATCATGGGGAAAAAGCCATGAATTCTAAGTGTTGCTTTCCTGTAGCTCTGGAGTTCTGCAGTTCTCAGTGACCAAAAAACTTGGTCTTGGCTGGATGTTCTTGCCGATCTCCTGGGGGAAGGGCCTGTTGCAGCGATTCTCAAATGTCTTTACCCGAGGTGGAACTGCAACGCCCTTGCCAGGGACCAGGCTAAGCAATCTGCTCAGGTTCGCTCTTGGGAGCTTTTGTTCCCTGGATGCTTTCCCTAGAGCTCTGGAGGACCGGAATGAAGATGGTGACCTCCCAGTCTCTGGTTTGGTAGGAGCTGAGAGCCAGGGCCCCACTCCTCAGTGCACCCTCAGAGAAAAGCAGTCAATCCTTCACATCTCCCGGGTCTCCGGCCACATTCCAAGTTCACCCAGCCTGTGACTGAGCGTTTCTTTTTCTGGTGCACGGCCCCGTTTGAGGAGTCTCCAAATGCAGCAGATTCCTGCTGCAGGCTCCCACACTGCTCCTCCCGAAGGAGGAAGGAGGAAGTCTCCCCAGATCTACCATGGGGTCCCTGCTCAAAGAGCAGTGGCCTGACTGTGCTGCAGATCACAGTTTAAGGTAACTCTGATCTGAGAGCTCACTCCTCGGCTCTGTCTCTGTAGTCGGCTTCCCTGCTTTAATACCTGCGAGCTCTGCTACATTCAGACACTCTGGTCTTTCTGTGACCCCACGGGACCTGAGACCACACTGTGCCCATGAGGGCTCTACCCCTGCTTAGCCTCTGGAGTGATGTCCCTCAGTGGAGCAGACTTCTGAAAGTTCTGGTTTTGTGCTCTGCTGCTCTACCACTTGCTGGGAGCCGGCCCCTCTGCCCCTTTCCCCACTGTGGTCTATCTTCCCGTCATGTCAGATTCACTTCTCCACATGTCCTACCTTCCCAAGAGTGGTCGATTTTCTGTTTCTAGAAATGCTCCTCTTCTTCTCTTCTGTCTTCTATTGCGTTTGTACATGTTCAGAATGGTTTGATAACTATCCAGCTGAACTCCTGTGACCTAATGCTATTTCAGTTTCCTAGTTTTCTGCCATCTTGATTCCTCTCTCTATTTCCATCTTTCTCTCCACCCCCTTCTTCCTTGGCAGTCAGCACTGAGCCTCTCCCTCCCTCTACTGTACCTTTCTGTTTTCTCTAATAAAACGGAATTACCACATTCCCTAGAAAGACATGCCCTACATATGTTGTTCTCAAGGTTCCAATCTCTGCTTGATGACAAAAGAAATGTTGGTATACAAAGCAATGATTTTGCACTTAATCCTTGAACTAAAGTATGTCCCCACGTATGTCACTTGACTCCATCTCTGTAGATTTAAAATAACTAATTCTGGCAGAGAATGAGGTTTGTTTTGTTTTTAGAGAATACACATTGCCACATAGCTGGTTCAAAAGAATCCGTGGTTATTGAGGATCCTGTGTACAGTCTTGGGGAAGAGTCTCCATTATTGGTTGCTTTATCCACATGGCACATTAATTAGGGAGTCTGGAGTTGGTCTCCTGGGCGTCGTGGCACCAGGATGACCTGCTCCTGGGATAGGAGAGTGCATGGTTTTCATGCCGTCTTAGGAAAGGGCACATTCTCCCGTGGTTGGGTGAATCACTATCAAATTAGCATGTCCAACCATCCTCCTCACCGCCCCCTGCCCCTGCCAGCACAGCAGGGCTTTGAGAACAAACCTCAGCTCTCACTCATCACACTGAGCCATGACCTAACATGACATGAAGCTCTTTTTGCCTTCTGGAAAGCCAGGAATCTGAGGTTGGGTCAGGGAGAAGAACAGGTTGAGAGAAGTGAGTATAAAGTGACAGTGTTATCTAGCATTCTGAAGAGAGCCTTGGTGAACACCCTATGGCAAGAACGTCCTGATTGTTCTTCCCGACCACACCTGGGGCCACGCAGGTCTCCCTTGTGCCTTATATGCATCCGTGGACACACACATTTGCACAGACCTTGGGGTCCCCCATTTCTGGTTGAAGTCCTATATTAATTACTTCAAATATTGTTAAGAAGATGTATTTTCTTTGGGAAAAATATGCATGTGTGTCACTCTCTGAATTACCTGTGAGACTTTCTCAGCCTTTCCATGAGCAGGAGGGCTGCCTCCCTCCCAAGAGCTTAGTGTCTCTGTGTCTCACTCCCCCCACATCTACCTTTTGGTATCACAAATGCAGTGAACTACTGGATGTGGGTATCATGGAGGAAACTTACAGCAGAGTAGTTTGGAGTTAATTATAGGAGTTGAAACAGAATCGAAGAACATCTTTCTTTCTTTCTTTCTTTCTTTCTTTCTTTCTTTCTTTCTTTCTTTCTTTCTTTCTTTATGTTTATGTAGGCCTGTCTTTCCCTCTTGCTTTGTCTGGTGCTGATAAAATCTAGAACTGGAGCTACAGGTTTCATAGGGTCTGACATTATATGTAAGCCTTTCCACTATTGGTAATGACAGGGTGGGAGGCCTTTGTATCTTTTAGTAATTTCTGGAATTTGAAACGGAAGCCAAACGGTCAAGGAAATTCAAATTAAAATAATAACATGTTAACCCCAAACATTTAAAATATTAAGGATTTGAAGATGTGTAATGAAATTAGCCTTTTGTACTTTGGAGGTGAGGAAGTAATTCAGTCCACTTTCTAAAATGTCTATTTTAGCAGTAGGTATTGGGAACCTTAAGTGTCTATGTGCTATAGCCTGGTGAGTCTAACACTAAGAATTTATTCTAAGGAAATAATCACAGATAAGACATAAAGATGTATTACAAGAATGTCTTCTACAGCAGAATTTCTGTCATAAAATTAGATTTTTTAAAGATTTTTTATTTATTTATTTGACAGAGATTACAAGTACGCAGAGAGGCAGGCAGAGGGAGGGAGGTGGGGGGAAGCAGGCTCCCTGCTGAGCCGACAGCCTGATGCGGGGCTCGATTCCAGAACCCTGAGATCATGACCTGAGCTGAAGGCAGAGGCTTTAACCCACTGAGCCACCCAGGCGCCCCATAAAATTCTATTTTTTTTACTATAAGGAGTAATATGTTATTACGTGTTTATAATATGTTATAAAAATATAAATATTTGAAAGTGGGGAATTATTAAACACATTATGCTATACCCATGTAATACTACTGAAAAATATATTGCCAAGAATTATAAGATAGGGGCACCTGTGTGGCTCAGTTGGTTAAGCATCTGCCTTTGGCTCAGGTCGTGACCTCAGGGTCCTGGGATCCAACCCTGTGTCAGAATCCCTGCTCAGCAGGAGTCTGCTTTTCCCTCTCCCTCTGCCCCTCCCGGCTATTCATGCTTTCTCTCTTGCTTTCTCTCTCTCCCAAGTAAATTTTTTAAAAGAGGAATTATAGGATAAGTGCTTGCTTATGTTAAATAAAATTAGGAGGTATGAAGGAATATTTTAGGTGATTTTATTAAAAATTTACGTTTATAAAAAAATGGTAGTAGGGAAAATAATGGTGAGATAATATAGTAGAAGAATCTTTGTCCAGTGATGTTATGGATTATTTTATTTAATTTCTATTTTATTTTTCAGTTCTACAAATGAATATGTAACACTTTATAATCTGAAGAAATACATATTTTTTAAAAGATTTTATTTATTTGTCAGAGAAGAGAGCACAAGCAGGGGGAGCAGCAGGCTGAGCAGGCATACATATGATTAATAAAAATCCCATGCACATAATTCCTCCAGATTAGTCATCAAGGATATGTGTCTTATTAGCTGATCTTATCAGCCAGTTCTCGCCAGAATTGCATGAGCCTTCATCTGGGGTCTCTTAAAATCATTCCCATTTATTAACTGGCAGTCTGCAATTTTATGTCAGTATGAGATTTTTAAATTATCCAGTCTTTGCACAATTAAGATTGTTTTGGTACCTCGGTGGGTGACCCAGAAAGTACCTCTGTTATTTAAAGCCATTTCTGTCATTGCCATTGGTAAAACCAGAAACACAATTAACTTTGTAATTTTTTAGATCACAAGACTATAACTGTCAAACTCTTCTAACAAATAAATATTAGTAGCATCCAGATAAGCTCACATGGGCCTGTACGAGATGCCACCCATGCACTCTTCAAGCCCTCATGAGGTAGGTGGGTACGTGTAGGCAGTGCCCTCAGTGTATGTGAAGATATCTGGTCTTGTCAAATGATGGGTTGTTGTTTTGTTTTGTTTTCTGCCATCCAGACAGAGCTATGACATTCAGATTGTGGCACTGGTAAACCAGACAGGCTTCAGATCTGGGAACATCCTCGATTTAAAGAATCCTTTCTTTAGGTAAGAAATGCTCTCATCCATTTCACACCCACACATACAAAATCTCAACTGACCACAGGACCTGGTAAAGAGAGTCAGACTGATTCCATCTTTCCTAAGAGGAGAAAAAAAAAATCTACTCTTCCTCTTTAAGGAGACTTGGATCTTGAGATGGAGTTGAATGTTTTCTGTTCCATTAAATGGAATTCAGTATGTACCAATCTGATCCTGAAACAGGGAGCACTGGGTAGTCCTACAAAGCGAGCTCTCTCCTTCCAGCTGAGCTCTAATGAGCTGTGTGACCTCAGGCAAAGTCACTTCCTTAGGGCATTCGGGTTTTCTCTCACCTGCAAAATGTGGAGTTTAACTCTGTGCTCCTCTGACCTTCCCTCACTAACAGATGGTTTTTTGTAGTAGGTATTCTTTTTTTTTTTTTAAAGATTTTATTTATTTGACAGAGATCACAAGTAGGCAGAGAGGCAGGCAGAGAGGAAGGGAAGCAGGCTCCCCGCTGAGCAGAGAGCCCGACGCGAGGCTCGATCCCAGGACCCTGGGATCATGACCTGAGCCGAAGGCAGAGGCTTTAACCCACTGAGCCACCCAGGCGCCCCTGTAGTAGGTATTCTAATTCATCTAAAACATGAAGTCCATTGAAAATATGTTTTTGAGACATTTTTTGAGAGCATGTAAGTCAGGACATACCTCTCTTTAGAAGCTGTGCAAATTGTGTGTGATACAAAGAACTTGCCACAATGAGATGGACACGACAGATATTTCTGGAGAAACTCCCCATCTTTACATCCAGTCAATATGAGTGAAATCGTGTTGGGTTGACATGAAGTCAACCCAACAATTAAAACCACTGAACACTGTCACTCTTTACTTTCTTAAAGACTTTCTCTCATGTTATAATGTCTCCCAAGGCTTTTGTTCAAAGCATCATGTCTCTATAGTACTTTTTGAAAAGCGTAAAGAGAGGAAGAAACACGGGAAACCAAACCAAGAATTCTTTGGCAGAGATGGGAAAATGAAATGATGACTTGGGAGGTCATGGGAGGGGAAAAAAAAAAAAACAAGCAAGGCTGCCATTGTTTACATTGTGTGCAAGTTGTCACACATAGTAGAACTCTTTAAAGCCTATTCCCGTTTAGGGATGTGGATGCCATCTTTAATTCTGAGGGAAAGGGGGTGTTCTCCCTCCCTTCCCCCTATACAATCCTGTCATATAAAGTCAAGGGCATAGATTGTGGCCTCAGAACATGCTGACTGTTCACTAGGACAATTTAATCTGCCTAGGCCTCAGTCTTCTCATCTGTGAAATGGGGTAAACAACATAAGGCTGTCCATACCATGTCCAGGTACTTAACAGTTGACATAAGTAGTATTCAGTAATTGCTACTTTCCTGTCTTTCTCCCTTTGCTTACTGGTCTCTGCACTCCCACTCTCTCAGTAAGTAAGTTAGGTGATGATCTGTAGTTCATTCCAGACTGAATCATTTGGATTTGGGGATAAAAATGAATTTTCATAGGGTTTTAGAAAACCCACCTCTTGAGGGCAAGAACCATGTGAACTAGTAACTCTTGAGTCCAGCTTTCACTTTTAACCAGAAAACATGGGAACAGGGCCTGGGCCTTGGCCTTGGCCAGCCCCTGCTTTGCACAAAGGCACAAACACAGTGGCCACAAGTTCAAAGTGTGGACTGGTCTAGGTTGAGTGATACTCAAGGTGGCCACAGGACTGTCAAAACAGACAGAGGGGTGGGTGTGGTGGGGACAGCTGATGCCTCTCCTTTTCCCTTCTTCTCTCATTCAGCACCAAGTCAGACTGGTGTATTTAATTAAATAATTGAGTAGATAAGGGTGCTTAAAATGTGACACTCCCTTGGGAATTCCAGATCTTGATTGTATTTTTTTCACCAACTCTTCCCTAATGTCTAGGCCTCAGTATCTTCAGTGAGGATTTGTGCTAAATGACCAAATCTTGGAGAGCACCTAGCATGTAGTAGATGCTCGGTTAAATGTTCAGCTATGGTAATGTCCTTCTGCTCCCTAACAGTCAACTCCAATCTGCTGAGGAACAGAAAAGCAGGACGTGTGTGTGTGTGCACATGCTTGTGTGTGTTAGGGAGAACTAAAATAATTGGCATTACCAAGAGGAATTATTGGTATTTCTCCATCAAAATAAGTAACTTTATCTCTACCTGATTTTTATTCTGTCCATTTTTAGGGCTTACAATAGACTTACACACAAAAACGAAAGATTTATTTTTGTTTTTTTTCTGATCCCTGATACCATCTAAAAACATCTAATGTGGCATGCTAAAAACATCTCAAGATCTACAAGTTAATTACTAAAAACATAAACATCCACCATTAGAGTCAATTGATTTTCGACAGAGTTGCAAAGGCAATTAATGGAGAGGTGATATTCTTCCAAAAGTGGTGCTGGAATAATGGATATCAGTACGCAATAAAAATAGTGACCTCCCATCCATATCTCAGACCATCTATAAAAATTAGCTCAAAAGGGATCATGGATCAAAACAGAAAACCTAAAAATATGAAACTTTGAGAATAAAACATAGAAGAAAATCTTTGTGATCTTTGGTTTGAACAAAAATTTCTTAGATATGACCTGATTCCTGGAAAGAGAAAGAAGAAAAGGATAAATTGTCCTTTATGAAAATTAAAAACTTATCTTTGAAAGACACATGATATGAATGAAAAGATGAGTTACAAACTAGGTGGAAGTATTAGGAAATCACCTATCTGAAAAAAATAAAATAGTATCCAGAATATAAAAAGAATGTATGATATAATACTTTTTAAAAAGCCCAATAATAAGAAACCATTTTATTCAGGACAAGAGATTTGAACAGACTTTCCTTTAAGAAGATATAATAGCAAATAAGCACATGAAAAATGTTCACCCTCATTAGCCAATGGGGAAATGAAAATTAAAACCATAGCAACATACCACCACACATCTATGAGAATGGCTTAAAATAAAAATTCGGATGATAGCAAGTGCTGGTGAAGACGTGGAACTACCAGAATTCTCATTCATTGTTGGTAGGAATACAAAGTGGTACAGACTTTTGAACATAGTTCACCAGTTTCTTCTGTAGTTAAAAATGCACTTACCAGATGACCCAGCAATCTCATTTCCAGGCATTTACGCAACAGAAATGAAACTGTATTTGAATGTGTATGGCAGTTTTATTTGTAATCATCAAAACTGGAATCAACTAGAATGTCTTCTAAATGGAGAATGAACAAACTATGATCCATGCATACAATGAAACGACTTTCAGTAACAAAAAGGAAAGAAATACTGATACATTTATAATAATACAGATGAATCTCAAATAAACTAAGCTATAGAAAGTGAAAGAAATCAGACTCAAAAGGCTACACAATATATGATACCACTCACACGACATTCTGGAAAAGGCAACACTGCAGATACAAAGAATAGCTCGGAAGGGCTTGGGGAAGGGTTAGCTATGAAGAGATGTGGCGGCAGTTCAGGCAGTGGAACTTTCTGTATCTTGATCATCCTGGTGGCAGGATATGCCTGGATGCATTTGTCAAAACTTGCAGGACTACAGTAGAGGGGCTGAATTTTATTGTATGTAAATTTTTCCTCAAGGACATGAAAACTTACTGACTGGTGTATTTCATTAAAAAAACAAACAAACACAAATCCACAAAACACCAAAACTGCGTAAAGAGAGAGCAGAAAACAAACAGAGTGTTAGGCCAGCCTGTGGTGAGGGATTGCATGAGGGCGTTGTTTACAGTGAGTAATCTGGGAGGCTTCTCGGAAGAGGTGGCAACTGAGTGGTGACTTAAATGTCAGGAAGCAACTGGAATGGGTGGATGTGCAAGCAGAGCCTTTTGTAGAAGTGAGGGCAAAGGCCTGGGGCAAACCAAGCCTACGGAATAGCAAGAAGAGCGAGAAATAAGTTGATGCTTCGTCTTCGCTGTAAACCTATTAAAAAAAGAAAAAAGTTCTCTCAGTGAACAAAAATCTGGATCATCATCTCAGATCTGAATTTAGGCTATGCATAATCAAACTTACTAAATATAGTGGGTAAATATAGATGTACGGCTGCCCATAAAAACTTCAGGAAGGGCACAGGAGTGGGAAGGAGGGAGGGGGAGGGGACGAGGAGGGAGGGAGAGGACAAGAGCCCACAACCAACTTGCCTGCTGGGAGCTTCAGATCGAGGTGGAACTTATTTACTCAGTATCATAGAAATCACCTTCTCTGTTTTAGGTTTGCTTAGAAGATAGCCACAAGCCAATCGATAAGTAAAATGAAGGCCTGAGAAGTCCCTCAACACCGAAGTTCTTATTTCGTGTTCCAAATATGCACTCTACATTTTACAAGGATGATTAGGTTGATTTGAATTCGTATTTTTTTCCTAAATATAAAATGTGCGTCCTCGTTTTATTGAAAGTCTATTTCTCGGTGCTTCTTAGACTGGCTCTTTACAGCTTTCTGCATGTAGCTGAAGAAGAATTTTTTCCTCAATTTGTGATTTCTCTTTATTACTGTTGCAGTAAAGCCAACAGCTCTGCTTTCATTTTTTAAGTATTTACAAAAGAAATTTAACAAAACCCTACCTCGTGTTTATATGTATGCATATGTATGACGTAACATAAGAGCATGTTAGGAGTGAGCTTCTATTTACAATTTTAAGCTGTTTTCGCCGATCGTCTCAACCAGTCAACACTACTTTCTAACTCAGCAGTGTGTTAAAGAATTTTTGCCTTATTCACGTTATGGACTAATAGGACGTCAGGAATGTTCTTCATTGGTAATATTTGATGACTGTATGTAGTTAAGGAAATAAAGATGGAACCTTTGTCAGTTCTTTTAGGTTTACAATAAAAATGTACAGTGTGAGATACCAGTGAGGCCTCTCCTTTACTTTAAGACATTTGTTATATGTCACACGTCAAATGGTGATGAAAGATGATCTTTGCAAAGAGCAGGTTTTCCGCTGGCCCAGACAA